GAAGTAAAATTAAATCATTTCCACTTCTAAATGAAATAACTTCTCCACTTTTTTATTCAAAATTATAAACTGTAATACCTAAACATACATTATTAATGATGTGGAAGAAGAAATTGATGAATAAAGCATGAACAATTATACACAATAAACAGAACAGAATGTTCCTTATTCAATAAAGTGTTATTCGTTTATTATATTTTCATTCAAAATATAAAAAGAGAAGTTTTAAGAGAATGAAGGATAAGTTAAACATGAAAAGAATTTCTAAATGTCCTAAAAACAACAACGAATGAAGTATTTAAAGAAAATAACTGATAATTTTATATATCAAATGAAAGAATTATATTTTGCATTTTTTATTTCTGTTGTGATGTCAGAGTATTTTATTGTTTCTCCATTAAATAAAGGAAATGAAAGTGTAGGAATTCATCCAGTGTATGAGTTGGGCAGATGCTATAATGTACTTCAGGGAATATCAACAGTGTACACTCGTGTTGAAGACAGTATCAGGATTCGAACATATCAAGCTGATGGTTGCACTGGAGAGTCAGATGCTTTAGTATTTGAGCTAACTGATAACCTTGCCAAACAAATGTTTTGTACTGGTAGTACTGATTGTCTTCTTGAATTTGGAGAAATTCCAAATAACATTGGTCACTATAGCTCTATAAAAAGAGGTAAAGAATGTAGTGAAGAGAATGAAGAAGTAAGTATTTACATTACAGATGGATGTTTCTATTGTCAAACCGACGATGGAAGATATTGTAAGTATGGTGCACATAATGGGTATATGTCATTAGGAACTTATCCAAACAATAAATGCGACGAAAGTGAGAGAAGTGAAGAACAACAAATATACAAATGTGGTTGTTCAACTGGAGTTTATGGCTATTGCTCAAATAATACTAATGACTCAAATTCAGTACCTTCTGAATCTATTTCGTTATTAGCTATTGCTATCATCGCAAGTCTTGGATTTTTAATTTAAGAATTAATGAAATAAATTGGAAAAAATTATGAAGTTTTTGTGATTGTGTGAAAAAAAAATAATTAAAAAAATAAAGAAAAATGAATGAAAAAAAAAGAAAAAGAAAGAATGTAAAAGAAGAAATAAAAAGTAGATAATTAAGTATTAATAGAAATATTTTCTATTGTTCCTTGCTCAGGGGAGATTAACTAATCCCTTTGCTTTAAATGTATTTGTTCTTCAACTATTGCCTTATTCTTTGATTCTAGTTGTTGAACTGTGAGATTTTCCTTTTCTTGTTTTGATGTTGAGTAGAGTATTTTAAACATCAATTATTTAAATATTCATTATTTAATTTCTTTTTAATTTCGATGCGTTTGAGTTTTCTTCTTTATTTTCTTATTTTAAGGAGAGTATATAATTACTACTGTATTGCTTTGGGATAATATTCTTTTAGCCTCAACCACTAGACCCTTTTCCTTTGATAATCTTATATTATCAAATATATTTGTATCATAATAAATAATAACATCATCCTTATAAATACCCATTCGTTTATTGCCAATGATATTCTGTCATTGTACATAATAAACACTGCTATTCTTGCAGTACCGGGTAAGATGTTTTTCTAACCAAACGCAACGTCATAACCAGTCCATAACTGGTGGGAATCGAAGGATGGAAATATTTTAGGATTCTGTGTGGTGTCTCTGACATGCTACCTTCGAATCCCAAGAATGTAAAAGAAGAAAGAAATTAAATAAGAGTTATTTATGATTATGTTTTCGTCATATTGAGAAGTGATTATTTCACTTTATTCTTCATATTTTATTTCTATTCATTGATTGTTTTTTTCAATCATTCTCAATTTAAATATTTCATCATTTAATTTGTTATCTGATTTTTATTTTGAAATAAATGAATATTAAAATTCATCATTATTTATATTATTATTTTATGTTTGACATATCAATAACATTATAACTATGGTTTATCTCATTTATCATCAACATTGTTTAAATAATCTTTATTGATAACACTTCATGTATTCAACTCAAAATTATCAATGATAAATAATAATACTACCATCATAATAAATAAATAATCTTATATCATAATAAAATAATAACCAATTAGTATAAGTGGTGTGTTATCTCATCAAAGACACGTCATAACCAGACGATAACT